ACATTGCTCTGTTTGTGCCGGGGCACCGGACCTTTGGGGTGAACCAGCCTTTGCTGTAATGTGTTTTGGGTTTTGAAAGCCACTGATTTATAGAAAATAAACGTCTCAGTTTCTCCGAAACACCCGCAACATACGGAATAACCACTGGTTTGGGTCTGGGTTTGGGGTCTTCATTTTCACCTGAAGGTTGAAAGGCTCAAGGTTTTTGTGAAGAAAGACCGTCCATCATTAAACAGAGGTGGAGGCCTCCGTTTTCAGTTGTCGCCCACCTACAGCGCGGCAATTGCCATTATCACTCCACCCCCTGTTAACAATAAGTGTTAATTAGGTGTCAACGATAGCCATGTGATGTGAGTATCAGTCACATGAAGGCAGTGCTTAAAAGCCTGAATTTTGCCTGAAACTCTCAGACTGAAGAAGTCTCTTGGAGGAGAGACGAAACGTTTCAGTAGAGAAGAACCCGTCCAGAAGACCTATACAATTTTTTTTCTTTTTTAAAACTGCAGCTACATTTGATAAAATGATGATTAAAATGGGTCACAGAAAGTTGGACTTCACGACTTTAGTGTTTTATGATCTATATCACACTTGAAATTCAAAGAATTTTAAATATTTAAATTACAAAACATTTATATAAAAGTCTGATGACATCACTTTAATTTTTAGTTGTCTTTGCACATATCTTGCCATCCGTCCATAATCTTTACTCGCATCTTCCGTTCTGGGTTGCTAGGTTCGCTGATACCCATAAATTCCACAAATTTCCACAATTTTTCCTTATCTTCTTCAGTTTATCCATCAAAACAGATCCTTTTGCTGTCTTACACCTAATGCTTCTCAATGACTTAGCAGATTCTGTATCAGAAAAGCAGGAATCACCATGAAAACCAACGACTCAGCAGATTTTTAATCAAGTCAACTAGTCTCTTATCTGTTTCTGGATCAAAAAGGCAGAAATGATCATGGAAACCAGGTGTTCAACAAATCCTGGATCAGAAAGAGAGAAATCACCTTTGGTGTTCTGAAGAGATTAATCAGAGGGTTGGCAGGATTCAGAATTTAAAGATTAAGACTTAAGATACTCTTCAAAATAAGAGTCTGTCTCTTAAATTAATACAAAGTAAGTCTTAAATTCCTGTTGGACTTTAGAGAAGAAAGTTGAAGTGTTGGAACCATCACAATATTTACACAGAACCTCTTTTTTTAAAAGGGTAAAATTACTGTCTCCAGGGAACCTTAGTGATTCTCAGATGTATATTTCAGGTCCGTACTTACTTCATGAGCAGTCGAGATGAGCGGTCCAGTTTCGTGGAGCGCGGCGGTGGGCGGGGATTCAGTCTGAACAGGAACACCCTGGGAGCAGTGGTCTACAGTCTTGTTCAGGCCAGGAAGAGGGACAAGCTGAGAGAGGAGAACGGAGGCTTCCACCTGGTGGAGGCCACCTAGAAGAGCCAAGTCAGAAGCCAAAAAGCTAAAACACAAACGGCAGCACTGTTCAGAGGAAAAGAAAATAGACTTTTCAAAATAACAMTAAGACCACATGTTCCTCCTGTAAATGTTTAATCAAATGATTGTTCTATTTACCTGTTTCATGTATTGACACATTAATTTTCTACTATTTATTTTCTCATTTAGATTTTCACAATAAAATTCATGAGTCTACCTCTGATGGCCATTTCACCATAATCACAATGTTATTTACTGTCTTTATTTAAGAAATATTTTATAATAAAACCTTAGTTTAACAATGTTATTGATTTTATGTTGTTTATTTTTACTTTTGCCAGAATACGAATAAACATGTAAATACATGATTATTTTGATTTCTTTTTGAAGAGTTGTCTTTCTAGTTAGAAATTTTAATACAGGCAATAAAACAAATTTTATTTTACAAATAGTTCTTTTATAAACCTAATATTCTGACACTTGTACTGTTTTAATTTTTTTTACAAGAAAATGCAAATAAAAGTAATACACCGCAAATCACCCTGCACATGTTTAAATATTGCTCAGATCATTGGATATGTATCTGCTAAAAAGTATTTGTATGTGGTTATTCTGATTCAAAAACGGTGGTTACATCACGGCCTCTAGTGACTCAGCAGATTTTGGGTGAAAAAAGATTTTGCATTCAGGTTTAAAACAACAGTTTATTCCACCTGGAGTCCCTCAGGACTCAGTGTTTGGWCCCATTTTACATCTCAACTACCTCTGTGATCTACCTGAGGTTCCTCAGTTGCTGCTGTGACAGAAATATGATTTTATATTCTGTAAAGTTTAACCTGTAATGCATCAATGTGAAGGACTAGGGAAGACTGGGTTTTTTTGAGATCCTGAGACCGAATCAAATGGATTCCAAGCTGAATAATGAATCACATGAATGAGTGAGAGAAGTGAGACTAATGTGGACCTCATGCTGTCTTTAATGTCTTAAAGAAAACTGGAAGCATTTTTTAAAATCTTAATTCTCTCAGTTGTTCAGTTGGTTTCAGATTTTACGTGGAACTTCAAGAATTTGTTCTGTCTTCATATCAGTTGTGTTTTTACCCTCTGGTGGATCAGCTGAATAACAGATGACTGATTAAACTTGTGGCGTTTCAGCAGCTGTCTGATCCTCTGAAGTTATTTAAACATTCTTGCATTTTTTTCATGCATTGAAGAAATAATGCAGTAATTTTTGTGTTAACAAGTTGAGTGCATGGTGGGACTGATGTGCACTGGCAACTCTACAGTATATTGCTTTTTGTGTTAGGCCCAAAGTATGGCAGGCTATTTTGCAATATAATCAAATCACACTTTGGTGTTTGATGTTTTACAGTTTATGATTTCAGCAGCAGCTTTTCTCCTGGTGAAAAACAAATTCTTACTAGTCATAATTAATTTGACTTAGTTTTTACAGTTTACAATAAATTTAATGGTACTAATAAAAATACTTTTAGACCCATAAAACATTAAGGTGGAAGAGTTAGTGGTCAGAGATCAATATTGTGCAGATATTTTTCTAGTCAAAATAACAGATGTCTTACTGGGAGAAACTCATGTTGTGGAAAGAACAAACCACTGTTCAAAAGATTGTACAGAAATAGATGATTTATTTAAAATGCTCTTCACAGTGAAAGTAACGTGTAACTTTGAGATCCCATTTCAGGCACAGGAAATGGGTCCAGTATTCAGACTTGAATGTTTATTTGCAGACATACTGTATAAAATTTACCACATCACTGTACTGGTACACCCTGACAGAACCTTATGAGAGATCTGGACAAAATGGCCCCAAATCACATCCTTACATTGTTTATATAATACCTAACCCTGGATATGATGTCATAGTAAACAAAGAAGTAGGTTATAGAAACAAACACTAAAACTAATTAGAGACATATTGATCCACTTATTGTTTTTAAGTAAATTATTAAAATTGATCGCAAAGTGTAAAGTGTGTATCTGATATTCAGTTAGTCAATCACAAAATATCTTACAACTGCGATAAGATAAGATAAGACAAGACAAGACAAGACAAGACAAGACAAGACAAGACAAGACAAGACAAGACAAGACAAGATAAGATAAAACTTTATTGATCCCACAGTGGGGAAATTTGCACATTACAGCAGCTCAAAACAGGACCGGGTGAGATAGAATAAAGAAAGATAAATAAAAGAAAAACAAAACACACTATACTCGTGACATATACAGTAACAATGTACAAATACCTAGTACAGTACATAAATATGAAGGTGCATATTAGTGATGGCAGAATGAATGACCTTTAAGTTGTTTATTGCAATAAACAGACAGGTCAAACAGAGTCAGCACAATCTGCAGGAGAGTTAAGAAGGAAATGGTCTCAGCTTTTTAAACAGTGCTCAATAAAAGAACTGAAACATTTGTATCTACTGAAGCAAACATTTCACTGCAAAAGAAGTGAAATCATTTACCTTTTGGCCGAACCTTTTAATGACCCATAGTTCAGTTGTTTTCATAGCAACAGTTAAAATAGATTAAAAGTATAGACTAAAACGGGGACAGCGGTTAAACTATCTGTGGAGAATTTTAAATGTCAGAGACATAAATCACAAAATTTTCCATCACATTTGCATTTTCATTGCAGTCTCATTATCAGTCAGGAGTTTTAATATGAAGCCTAGGCGTAAATTCAGACTGGAAAACTCAACACTTCACCTGCTTCACCTGCCTGCTGCTTTAGTGCCTGATCCTCACCTCACCGCAACCAATCATCACGCCGAAATCATCATTAAAAGGCCCTGCATCCAAGGATTTGCTGCTCCCCAGACAGGTTTCCCTCTGGCCTCTCCCCACCACCAGTGTCTGGGCCCCGGGGTGGGTTACTCTATCTCTAAGCAGATCCTCAGTTCTCAGTATCTTGCAGCACTCATGTCTCCTGCCGGGGTTCGAGTGCCAAAGCCAGAGCACCAAGCTCCTTATCATTCCTTCATATCAATAAAACTCTGTAATCAGTTGTTTGGGAACAGAGAAAAAGTTTTCGGCCAGGCAGACAATAATAATTTTCCATCTGCCTTAATGTCCGCTGGTACATCCCAATGTGGCGAATCCAATCAGACAAATAGTGTAGACAATTCCACCAAGCCGAGCTCTTTGCTTCTCCAAGATAAATTCCATCTGGTTAGCAGAGTCCAGGAACCACAGCCGGCCCACGACCCTCAGCAGAACTGCTTGTAAACCAAATCCCAGCTCGCTCAAGGCAAAAGTCTGAGTGCTGAAAGCATGGCAATCCTTCATTTTGTCAGGAAACCAGGAAATGGCCTTAATAGTCATCAACACTGTTTTGTAGAATGCCAGGAGACCACCAAGCCAATCTGTAGAATCCAGTGATCGGAATCACGCAATAATCCATCTTAACGATCTCTGACTTTTCTTTCGGAATATTGTTAAAACAACATTATACTGCTAAAACAGTTTATACCCAGCGTATTGTACTAGAACAACATTGGCCACCAATTGATCCATCGTGTTTACTCCTCTTCTAATTTTGCTGTAGTAATRGATTACTTCAGAAGCAGCTGTCAACTCGTCTACTGCTTTATCACCATCCATGGTGCTTGGCAGGACAACTGCATTTCCTTTCATAGCTCACCATTTGGTCAAGTTGCCACTGAATTCATATTCAGAGCTGTGAATCATGTGTGGGTCTGAATTTCCTCCTCGGATGAATCATCAGAGGATCATTCTTCCTGTAATACAGCTGCATTCCCGGACACATTCATGACTCCAATTTGACCCTGTGGCTAATATTTAGGTTACAAACTGACTCAGAATCAGGGCAAACTCTTTACCTTCCTCATCTGGTCTGTGCTGCACCATTGGTACAACCACTTCTGCAGTGAATCTGCAAACAGCTATAATTTGAATAAAGTAAATCAAAAGCACAACACAATTTACAGAAATATATGAATGTGTGCACCAGGGGTGCAACAATACATGTACCCGTATCGAACCGTATCGAACAGTGCTGTATCGAACAATACAGGTTTTAAAAATTTACTTTAACAACTTGTCTTCTGAAGATGCTCTGTGTTAAAGGATCAGTGGATCTGTGTTCGACTACTCCACCTAGGCTGCATTTTTGAGTGCAGGTCCACTGAGAAACTTGCTGTTTCAGCAACATTTAATTTAAAAACTGTACTTTTGAGTTTAAACAAATGTTCACAATTAATATAAATAAATTACAAGTTAAAAGGGGCATGGAAATTTCTCTTTTTTGTATCGAAAAAATATCGAACCGTGAGACTAAAGTTTCGAACCGAACCGTGAATTTCCTGTATCGTTGCACCCCTAGTGTGCACACATACACTGTATAAGCAAGGTCAATAAAGACATGGATGGCAGAGTCTGATGAGGATGAACTTGACTGGCCTGCACAGAGTCCTGACCTCAACCCAATAGAACACCTTTGGGATGAATTAGAGCAGAAACTGAGAATCAGGCCTTCTGTCCAACACCAGTATGTGACCCATGCACTGAGGCAGTCATCTCAGCTACACGCTGTTCTACACACACCTCACAATTCATGAAAGACTTCAACTGCAACATATGTATGGAGGGTCAAGTGTAAACTAAAATGTTGAAAAATGTCAGATTGTTATTGTTTAGTTCAATAGTTAAAATCCTAGTTAAATAAATTCAACAAACAATGTTATTTAGATCAATGGGCCTCATGCAAGAACCGTTCGTACGCACAGATTTGTTCTTAAGTTGTGCGTACGAGTGATTTAGGAGAATTTGTGGCATTCACCAATGTTTTCGTATTCTACGATTTTTTTCAGATACGAACAAAATTTACGAGTGGTCCAGACCTGTCTTATATTTTACGAGCAGTCAGTCTGCTGTTATCCAGATGGGTTTTCTTCATTAATAACTTTATATTTCGTTAGTTTGAAGATATTTTGAGTTGAAAATAAATCACACTCCATAATTATGTTGACAATAGGCTATTCTGCTTGAATTAGAGTTATAATTTTAAATGTAATAATTTAGACTAACTATAAATTGTCCGTCCGGCCGGCTTCTCCGCTATTGGGTGCATTGGGGGGGGGAGCGCAGCAGGAGAAAGACCCCGCGCGCTCCGCAGCGACACTTTCCAGCTCATCCTGGGGGACTCCGAGACGTTTCCAGACCAGAGGGGATACATAATCCCTCCAGCGAGTCCTGGGTTTTCTCCAAAGTGCCAGACTTATTTTGAAAACATTTTAAAATGCTTATTTCAAACCCGCATCTGAGACCACCGCAGCGCGGGGGGGGGTGCACGGTGCGCAGCGCTGCGGCTTCTGAATAAATGAAAATGATTTAACACAGTTGTTTATACTTTTAGCAGCTCTTTTTATTCCACAGCTGACCTGCTAAACATGTCAGATTTTCTTTTCTTGATCTCTGACAGACAGACTTCAATCTCTGAACGCGTAAAGTTTTTATTTTTTCAGTTTTCGCTGTCATTTTCATGAATGGACACTTCCTTGTATCTGAGGCAGGAAACACAGCCTTATATGGTGTTTTTGGGGTGGTAATTATGCTAATCTCCTCTCGCGTGCACGAGCAGCTGGATAGAACAGGTGTAATTTACGCAGCTCATTTACGCACGTTTCCTGAAGATAGAAGAGTTTGTTGAATCTGACGTGACATGTTCGTACGAACCCTTTGTACGAACAAAAGTAAGAGAAATTTAGGAGAAGAATACGAACATGTTCTTGCATGAGGCCCAATGTTCTTACATTCTATTATTTTTTAATATTGTTATATTTAAATATTAAACCCTACGTCTAAAAGTGTAAATCTAAATCTAAAATTAAATCTTAAATGTTGCAGCTAAATCATATTTCAGAATGGAGTGCAGCCTTTGCTGTTGGTGAGCTGCTTTTGTTGTGACGTCATCATCCTGCGACAAAAGCAAACAGTAATGCTGCTGGAGATGGTTTAAAAATTTAATTTTAAATATTCATCGAAAACAAGATGCATGGTACCTGTGGTCTGACAGTTTGAAGTGCAGCTCAGACAGTGGCCACAACTGCAACTTTGATGTGTTGAAGGGAAGTGTTGGCAGCGTTGGTTTTATCTCAGAATGATGACATCATGCCAAAAATGGAGCATCRATGGCAAAGGCTGTGTTCCATTCTGAAATACAGTAATTAAATATAAACTTTAACATTTAGCCACAACATTTAGGATTTAAGTTTTGCATTTAGCTTTGGATTTAGGCTTTAACGTTTAGAAAAAATTAACAAAACGTAAGAASAGTGATCTTAAAAACAATAAAATGTTGAGCTAATCAATGAAAATGCRTTGGAGACTTCTTTTTAACATTTTATTTTACACTTGCTGCCCCATCATCTAAGTGTTCAGGTTGTTTATGTAACTTTGTTGKAAYCAGTCATGGTGTGTTCAGGAGCAGAACCAGTCATGGTGTGTTCAGGAGCAGAACCAGTCATGGTGTGTTCAGGAGCAGAACCAGTCATGGTGTGTTCAGGAGCAGAACCAGTCATGGTGTGTTCAGGAGCAGAACCAGTCATGGTGTGTTCAGGTACAGTAGCTGTTTTGTGTAGTCTGAACAAGTTTCAGAGGACTTAACATTAGCAGCTGAGACCTTTGACCGAAAAGTTATCATCCTTCTGTTTAAGCTAATTATTCACTGCTCTTCTTCCACCTGCAGGTCAAAAGTCACCCCACACACACACACACACACACACACACACACACACACTTGCTGCAGTACAGTACGAATTATATAACTTGTTTTACATCAGGAGGGTGGAGCTGATTCAGAGGGGCGGTGCTTCAAAGCAGAGTGAGATAACTGGTTCAGGTCTGTTAGCCTCCTGAGAAGATGAGTCATATTTCTTTAAACTATATCTGATGAATCAAAAATAAAACTATGCTCAAATATATCCAGGCTGCCAAACATTTTGCATACAAAGCCTTGGCTTTACTTGTGTCAGCCCTAGCACAAAACCTTAGCTCCGCCCCTGACTGGTAGGAAGCAGGAGGAGTCAGTCCAGACTCCAACATGACCACCTTCATTAAAAACCAGCAGGATGGAGGAGCTGCATGAAACCAYCAGCATGGGGGACATGAACGGGACCATGGCTGAAACTGGGAACCTGACTGGTTCTGATGAGCTCATCTTCTTTGTGAATGGAAGGAAGGTAGTGATAAAACAGATTCAAACCATATTTCTTATGATTTTSTTTAGGTGTATTCTTTCAGAACTATCACACTGATCAGGTTCTAATTTATCTGCTGTATTAGTCATAAATATTAATTTTATTATCAGGTGCCACGCCAAGAACATGAGAAAAATGATGAAGCATTTGTTGAGTTCAGTTTATGTTAAAAATCTGAATCAGACAAGTTTTGTTAAAATGCAGAAAAAGATTCAAGTGAAAACAGAGAAGCGTCAAAAAGGAGCTTTAGGTGAAAGATAAGTGTGAYCGTCTTTAAAATGTTCTGTGTGGAAAAACACAAGATCGCCTGGAGTCAGCTGTTTATTACTAAATCATTTCATAAACTGAAAAATACACCAAGTAAGCAAAAATAATCAGAAATTCAAGTAAATACAACAAGCTTTCAGTCTGAACTTAAGTCATCAAGTCTGTAAAAAACATGAAGGAATTAAATGTTTTTTTTTTTAGTTAAAAAATCCCATCCTGTGGACATGCATGTTTAGATATTTAACAGTGTGAAACAGTTTACGTCTCCTTTTTTGCTGTTTGTTATTCAGGACATTTAGAATAATAACTGATGTAACGGTTTTCATTTCAGATTGTCGAAAAGAACGCAGATCCTGAGATGACCCTGYTGACGTATCTGCGGAGAAAATGTAGGATCATCTTCAATTATTCACAAATTTTTAACGCTTAAGTAAATCTGTGACTCAGATTTGGTCACCAAGTATAAAAGAAAAGTGTGAAAAGATGCCACACACATTTTCGTCATTTAGCTCACTTTCTGAGAGGAAAATCCAAGTTAAAATTTTTCCACTAACGTTTTATTATTTAGCTCCTTCGTACGTTTGCCAATTTTTACTGATATGTAAATAAAATACTAAACTAAATCCAACCACTATCTTAATCCACTTCTTCCTTTCTGCATCACTGGTGCCCACGTCCAGCAGTCACTGTGTGAGGTGCAGCGTACAGCACAGAGACAGACACMCATTCACTCACTCACCTAAAGACAATTTAGAACAAGAGCGTAACTTTAGCTCTGCCATGCCTATTTATTTATTGAATCATTTACTTTTGTAAAATGATTCAGGATATTTTGGAGTTAAAATATATGATAATACTGTTACTGTTTACTTAACTCTCAATTACGTTCAATTAAGTTGATTTWTATAGTGCCAAGCAACAACAACTGTTGTACCGTACACAAAAAAACAAACTAAAAAAAAAAAACCTATATATCTAAAGAATCCAGCAGACTGCGCCGAATCTTTGCTTCATCACAGTCTCCCATCCTGGGCAGCACATCGGCAGCAGCAGAGAGGAAAAACTCCCGCTAAACAGGAAGAAACCTCCAGCAGAACCAGGCTCAGGACAGGCGGCCATCTGCAATACAGCATAGTCATAATGKGATGAGAGTAGACTAAAACGCTGCGTGTCATTTTCAGCTATTACGCCTAACTGTTAGACCAGGGGTCCCCAAACTTTTTCCTGTAAGGGCCACATAACTTTTCCCTTCTCTGGTGGGGGGCCGGAGTCAGTTTGTAACAGAAAAAAGTGTGACTATTGCAGGAGTGCCTAAATGTAAAAATTTATTGTTTTCCAGAAAGCACAATTAAATAAYCCTCTCTGGGTTCTTCACAGGATGTATTCTGCTGAGCTAACTTTTTAGCTTTGAGAGTTTGTTTGCTCACATTTGGCCTTGCAAGCTATCATACTTGTCTTTGTGACGGGATTCATAGTGTCACCGCAGATTGTATTCTCTGAATACCGCCACCGCCTCTTGACAGATGAACAAAAAAATAATCGTTTGTCCACTGCAGCTTAAATGCCCTGCATTCTGAATCAGTTTTTCTCTTACCTAATCTTTTCGCCATCATTCCGTTCTCTCTTTGAGAGGGGCGGGTTTAGGACTTTTTTCTGGGGGTTGCCAGATAGGGGCACAGACCACAGAAGGGTGGAACAGAATGTCACGTTATATGTGTTTATGTATGAAATAGTTACTAACTAATAATAGTTAATAATGAAAATAGTTCATAACTAAGGAACATTTTATTGCAAAAGTCCAACTTTATAATCAAATATAAATACACATATATGAAAAAAAACCTAAATGCTTTCTGGTATTGTTCTGGGGGCCGGACCATATGGGGAGGCGCGGGCCGTAGTTTGGGGACCACTGTGTTAGACATTGTAAATTTTGAAATCGGGGGTGGGGGAATGGGGGGGGGGGTTTATATACCCTCCTAGCCCTCCCACAATTTACACATATTGTTAGCCTCATAACATAATTGCCTCAGTCATGTGTGACCAAACATGTCTTGGGCAATTATGCCATGAGGCTAACGATGTTCTTCAGAGCTGGGGTCTCCAACCAGCAGCTTGTGAGCTCATTTAAAGTAGCTCTTCAGTGCTTATGAAAAATTAGGAGAAGCAAAGTTGAATTTGTCACTGGCCAAACAAACTTTCATTTATATCCAATCAATCCATACATGTCCCTCCCCMTTGGTTGTCAATCCAACARTCCAGAGCTCAGTATGGTCGAACAGCAACTGACAGGACTCCCGGATGATGCGTGGTCTTGTGTTTGTTTGGCATTAATTTTTGCACATACTTTTCATAGCTCCTTGAAACACACAGAGCCAAGCTCCTGGGAAACCCCTCCCCCTGCAGCATACGTCACTGCATGGGGTTTCTTCCCACTGGAGTCTACAATGAGGAAAAAAAGTCCAAGACGCATYACCCGACGTTATTTGTGCCAAAAGTAGCTCTTGGACAATTTCCTTTTGTGAAAGTAGCTCTCAAGGAAAAAATGGTTGGAGACCCCTGATTTAGAGTTATAAATAAGCCTAACAGTCATATTTTTGGTCTGTGGGAGGAAAATAGAGTACCTGGAAAAAAAACTACGCATGCTGCAAAGTCCCTGACTGGGATTCAATCCTGCAACCTTTTTACTCTAAAGCAACAGCTCTACCAACTGAGCCACAGTGATGCCTACATCTGAAACGTACAATTATGTAAAAATTTATAAATGTTGCAACTAAATGATAAAATGCCGTTCTGCAGCTTTGGTTCAATATGCAGAGCCACAGTCTTTTTTTTTTTCTTTTGGTAAAAATATAGAACGAATGTTGGAAATGATGCAGATAGAATTTGCCAAAATACAAACCTGGTTTAAGCTTGATAAATTATCATTAAATTTAGATAAGATAAATTATATGATATTTAGTAATAGAAAGAAAACAACTGATGTTCCATTTAGAACTGATGATATTGAGGTCTGTAGAGTCAGTGAGGTGAAGTTTCTGGGTGTTATCTTTGATGAAAAACTGACATGGAGACCTCATATAAATCATGTTAGAACAAAAATAACCAAATMCATTGCAGTATTGTATAAAGTAAAGGATTTATTTAATGATAAAGGTCTGTTTATATTGTATAATGCAATAATTGTTCCACACCTGATCCACTGTATTGATGTTTGTGGAAAATCATGCAAAACAATTACAAACACAATTAGAAAAGAGCTGTAAGAATTATCACCAGAAAGCCTTATTATCACCCATCAGATTCATTCTTCCATCAGTTGAAGTTAGAGAAATTCTATGATTTGGTTAATTATGGTATTCTATCAGTCATGTATAGGACTCATAAAAACACATTACCTTCAAACATTAAATTACACTTTATTAAAAGAGAGAGAGATGTTATAATCCCAAGGGGATAGAGATGTTTGTTAAACCTAAATTTAGAACCAGTTTAAAGGAACAGAGTACTTCAGTCCAGGGTATAAGGTTATGGAATAATCTGGAAGATGACATTAAAAATGTCAGATCAATGTGTATATTTAAGAGAATGATAAGGAATAATTTGCTGGAGAAATATGTAAATGTATGAATTGTTGTTCAAGGAGTTAAACCTTTATTTTTGTATTAATTATTTAAAAACTAAAGATTATTTTTGAGTGAATTTATTTATTTGAGAAAAAGGGGCAGATATAATATTTTTTCTTCTTCTGCTACCTTTCATTTAATTTACGATTTGTATTTTTGATGTATGTTGATTTTATGTTATTGGTTTGAAAGAAATGAATAAACTAACTGAACTGAACTGAACTGAACAGGCAAACGCTGATGCTGCTGAAGATGGTAATTAAAATTTTAATTCAACATGTGTTAACTGAAAACAGTATGGATGGTACCTGTGGTTGAGCAGTTTGAAGTGCAGCTCAGACACCAGCTGTTACTGCTAGTTTGATGTGTTATAGGGCAGCGTTAGCAGCGTTTTCTATGTTAGCGGTTGGTTTTATCGCAGGATGATGATGCTGGAACAAGAACYGTGCACCAACAACAAATGCTACGTGATTCTGAAACACTTAAATGTAAACTTCAACATTTAGCCAAAAACATTTACATTTTAYATTTAGATTTAGGATTTAGTAAATATTATCAAAATGTAAGTTCAGTAAACTAAATAACAATAAAAGAGAGGATATTTTTGTAACTTTTACACTCAAAAAATGAGCTATATAATGTTAGTGACATTTTTCAACATTTATTTTATACTTGGCAACCCATACTCATTGTTGTTCAGTGTGAGAGCCTCCATGTTTATTCATCAAGAATCAAAAGTATTTTTATGGTGAACTTTAGAAATCATTCCCTATCTTTACTTTAGATTTCAGTTTGAGCCTGTGGAGGAATTATTGTTTTGATTTTATGTTGTGGACTTATCTTCAAGGTCAGTGACCACCTCTGAGATCAACCAGTCAAAGTCCAACAATTGTGTTCAAGATGAGACAGTAATAACCTCCATGTGTTTACTACAGAGGATCATGACCTCCAGGTGTAAAACTAGACATGGTACAGACCTCCAGGTGTTCCATTGACACATATCAAGTTGTACGGATTGTCCGTAATTTACACAGATTTTCCATTATTTTGCAGTTATACGGACGTACAAAGCAATCTCACAGATTTTTTCAAGTTTTACAGATTTTTTTCAAAACCTCAGTTTCAAGTTTATTTAACATTTATTTAACAAAAACCCAATAAATAACATTAAATAACCATCTTCCAACCTGGTTTGCCGCTTGAAATAAGCTCTCCACAATTCTTCCGTTCTCCTTTCCTGCTGCTCCTGTCGTCCCCCATGGGTGTGACTGGTATGGATTTTTGAGGCTCGTTATACTGGTAAACATCCAGAGGGGTTGACATGTATGCATTGCAGATGGTGCCATCCTCCAGATGTTGCACTGGGTGCAATAACACAATGGTTCCCAACTTTTTTAGACTTGTGTACCCCCTGGGTTATTTTGTCATACCATTAGTAACCCCTCAGTCAAACGTAATTATGATTCTCCAAAACTATAATGTACTACAACTGATTATTAAATGAAAATTATTTATTTAAACCCCTAGAACATTTAATTTTCAGGCATTTTTTTCTTTTCAACTCAAACTAAACATAAAGATAAAAACATTGCCTTGAAAGTTAGGAAGTAATTAAATAAATAAACCAGGTAATGGCAGGTGAAGGAAGCAGCAGCATCCAAAATACATCAGAAACTCACCTAAATTAGCAAATTCTGTGAGATTCCGTGTTTTACACTGGATTCCATTTTGTGTCAATTCCGTGATTCGGTCCGCATTTTTTG